GTTTCGGCCAGGCGGTGCAGCGAACACTCAGCGTTTTATTAAATGCAGGTGCTAAGGCTACAGGGCGTACGCGAGCAGCACGTTGCCTTAGGTTAGCGTTATTTCTGCGCTAGCGCTCCGTGACAAGGTCACTCAGCTAGGGGTTATTGGGTGAAGGCCGCAGCGTTTTGGCCAGACAGCCCGAGCCCGCGGCTGGGGAGCGCAGCCCTTCATCGTGGGCAGGCTGCTTCCTCGTGCCCGGCTGTTCTTCCTTCGTGCGTTTCATCCCCAGGAAACTGGAAAGTTTCATCAGCATTAGATCAACGATCTCCTCTTCCTCTGAAGCCTGAAGCAAGGAGAGGAGGGTTACTTGGGGCCAGGGCAGTCGCCAGAGAACATCTCAACTTGGGGTGAAACAAGCCAACTTTCACCCCAAGCAGAGTGCGAGTAGCTGCCGAAACTGAACGTCGTGCAAATACATTTATCGAGACAAAGGACCCAGATGGGCATGGACATTACAGATGAAATTTTGGCTCTGCCAAAGCCCACAGAAACCTTGCTACAAGGGCCTGGAACTGGTGTGCCAGCTACCGTACGGCTAGCGGTACCTGCACCGGCCTACCCACCCTCTGTGCACCAAGTGAACATCATCTACTGCCCACATCCTTTGTTTTCTTTAGCCCTGGCTTTACCCTGTGCAGGAATTTTGGACAGTACTGGAGCACTAAGCTGGATTTCGCACTGTGCTGTCGGCAGCTGAACGTCAGGCACTCAGCAACACATTTCAAAGGAGCTGTGAAGTCCTCGGGGACTCGGTAGCCATTCTGATGCTGATTTCGATGGACCTGGGGCACAAGTCTAAGACTTTTGGGTGGATTTAGTGCGTTAGCAGGAGGCTACAAATCAGATCTTGTACTATATCTGAACACGGACTCGTCTGGACAGGATCATGAAAATCTGAAGTGTCCTTTATGAGTAAACGTTGACTTCTTAAGAGTTTACATGGGTTTCAGCCAATGGTGGAATACCTAAATAATGAGTAAACACTGCACAATAAATGTTAAAAACGGCAGGAGAGCTTTGATAAACACACCTGGTAGTGCTTCTGCTCCTCGCTAAAAGCAACCAGAATCACCGAAATGAACAGATTCAGTACCACAAAAGTCATGAAAATTATGCAGGATCCAATTAAGAACGAGCCTAAAATTGGATTGTAGTCCAAGACCTGTAGTATTAATAAGGTAAGACATCATATTTTGATTATTTAAAAAAACAACTAAAACAACATGCATACTAGTGGTTAAACACAATAAGGAGTTTGTCTCTGAAAATCCCTATGGCTAATAAATTATGTTGTGTGTATTATACATACTCATATGGTTTTTTCCTTTAGTTATTTTCCTGTATTGGTATTATATAGTACAAAGATGATAGAATATTATGAATATGGGCAGTCTTTGGGTTATTTCAAATGTTTGCATGTGATTGTAGGGTGTGAAATTTTCATGTGAAAGCTGACAAACCCTGAGATCTGTTTATACATAGAACAGCTGAAGCTCCACCCAGACTCAGCTTTCAGAGTGTAGATGAAATCTCTGTGTGCTTTTATGTAGTAGTGTCTTGACAAAGAAGCACAGTCCGTCATGGACACATATCACCTAAGGGTTGTGCAAAAAAACCCAAACCCTTCATTTTCATGTAAGCTGTAATGTAGGGATATATTTTATGAGTGGGATGTGGAGGTGAAAAGCTTTATGTCCAATTACTGATCTTCAAAGCTACCCATACCCTGTCAGATCCAAACATCCAAAACATCCACCAGTGAGGACTTCACTGTCGGAGGTGTCTGAGGACTAGCTTAAGCCAGAGAGTCACTTAAAGGATATTGTATTATTAGATAGAACTTCATGAAAAAGTCAAGAATTAAAAAAAAAAAAGGTAACTCAAAGTCCCCTTGTGGAAGGCCTGGCCTTTCTTGAGAAGCTGGTGGGTGTGCGTTCAGAACAAATGCAGGACATCGCTCACATTTCTGTCTGGAGTTTTCTAAGGGAGTTACTCCAAACTTTCAGTAATCCCTAAGTAGCACATCGAGTTAAAATGTGAGCCCCTTTCTCAATGAAATGTTCATTAGGAGTCAACATGGGACGTGAGATATTTCACTTGGTGTTTTTTTCTTGTCTTGATGAGGAAAGGTGGCTGCTTTAGGAGCCTGTGGAGCTTGCAAAATTGTTATCTAATGGAAAGTCTTTCTATTTGCTGGTTTAAATCATATTTGATAGCCGAGCTGCTAATCACTCAGAGAGAAACTTGTCAAAACCAGAGGTCGTACCTCCTCATAGTTGAAGATCCCCAGCTGAAGACTGACCATGGTCTCCGCTGAATCCAAGAGAGTTTTGTAAGAGCAGAGCTTCCAGCCAAATATCAAGTTTGTCTGCAGAGGGAAGAAGGTACACCTTGGGTCATGATCAGAGCAGTCTCTGCAAAGTGAGCTGACTCCTGTATTCAGACAAAGGTCTCCTAGCTTGGCATCAGAGCCATGAAGCTTTATTTGGGGTATTTTTTTGTTTACAAATCAAGATAACAAAGAAGGGTGTTGGAACTAGATAGATGATCCTTAAGGTCCCTTCCAACCCAAACCGTTCTATGATTCCATGATAAGGCTAACCTAGAACTGGATTCACACTTCTGACTGTGTTTAGCTGTAAGGCCTTTTATCATGGATATGGAAACGCCTTATGTCTGTTCAGCTTGCCACTAGATATATAAAAAATTGGCAAATACATGACAAAATCATAAAAGTGATTTTACTCCAAGTAGCTGATTTATCTCTACATAATTGTTCAAATTAATCATAGTTACAAACACTTGCCTTTCAGTGCACTGACTCTTCCGAATAGGCAACCTCCTTTTTTGCCCTCAGTAACCAAGGTGTTATTTTCTTCATTTATGTCTTGTGGACCTACTGCATCTGATTCAAGCCGGGGCTGCTGCAGTCTCACCTTGTTCTCCATCCCTCTTCCCCTTTCTTTCATAGCTCCATCACTAAGATGATGTGACAGCAGGTTGGGGCATGGACCTGATCTCATCACTTATTTTACCTGTTAAGTCTGTGGCTATACCAGTGCCTAAAGCTTGAGCTGCTAGAGTGGCAGTGCTGGAGGGGGAGCCGAAGGACGTGATGTCAGGCAGTGTGAGGCTGCATCAGATCCTGTTTGCCACAGGACTGCCCTTTATGGGACAGTTTGGGTTTGGCTCGTATGGTATCCACTTTTTCAGTAATTTTGCGATTGATGTGCTGAATTTACTCTGCCAGAAGATTTACACAAAACATTTCATCTAAAGCAGTAAATATACATAAATATTTGCAGTCCAATAATTCTTTAATCTCATTAAAATGAAAATATAATTTTATTTGCATAATAAATATTCCTCTAATAGGAAGAAAAATAATCATTTCCCATTAAAAAAGTTGCCAAGCAGAAAATGGCACTTGCTGCACTCTTCCCAGTTTGAGCTTTATCCAGAAAATAATTTTTCCTGTACTTTGTTCTTTGTCACGCCCATTGCACACAGAGAATCCATTTCTTTCATCTCAGTGTTAGATTTTTGTACTAAATTTCAGTTTGCAAAGGACAGACGAGTGGCTATTTTAACTTTTCCCACTTACACTGAAGAGTTGGTCTCCAAGATACTAGTTTGGAAAGGCAGCTTTATTCAGTTTTACCTTTCAAAGTTACCTTGCTTTCAGCATTCAGAAATAATTCATCTACCCTGACGGTACCTGGATGCAGGCAGCAGTAACCTCAGGGGTACTCACAGCAATGGAATAGGCGAGGAACATGATTGCAATGACAGTGATGAATCCAGAGATGTCACCCCATGCCCTCCTTAGAGTTGAGGTGATCATGTTCAGTTTAGGGTTGAGCCTCAGGAGATGCCACAGTTTGACTGTGGAGAGAAGCACTAGGAACGCAATCAGGTAGCCAAGAACTGCATCTGCTCTGGCTGTTTCATTAAAGCTCACACAGCTGTTAGGAAGAAAGAGAAGATGTGATTGACCCTGCACACAGCAGCCTTTGAAATGCATCTGTGCTGGAAAAGCCAGTCTCTCTGTCCTTGTTTTCAGTGCATACCTGACATCAATTCTTGCTTGAATGTTCCAGTCTGTACTTCTGCTGTACGCACACAGAAAGCTCAGTTGTACGTGGCAGAGGTCTTTTTAACAGTGTTCGCCAGAGCTGGGAGAGGGTCTAGGCTGTAGCCCAAATGCTGCTCATTTTTAGCAAGTCACAGTTTAGAGGCTAATGCAAACTTACTCTCGAATTCTGACCCTTAGAGAGGAAGACAGGCTCTTCTGTGCATGCCTAGTTGAAAGGATGGGGTTGCTGGTGCTGTGCAGGATGCGCTAGCTGGACTAACTAATTGTGTGGGAAGGTACTGGAAGGGGCGAAGTGAAAGACTGGAGGTCAGAACTGTGATCTGTGACTGAGCGAGGCAAGTCTGACTGTTAGCTGAAAAAAAAAGCTTAGTAATACTTATATTTACCCTTTATAAAGGTAGAACATTGTTTGTACTTACAATTTTATTTATGGCAGAAGTGACCACAAAAAGCTTTTATAAATTGTGCCTGCTAATACAGCACATGACGTATACCTATATGGTGTATGCATGCTGCGTTAG